CGCTCCGTTTGCCCATCCGTCTCTGGGTGGGCTGCCGTAGACATAAGAAACCGCGTGACTAATAGCTGTAATAATTTGGCCCAGAAGCCGAAATGAAACGTGGGTAACGGTCCGAAACAATAGATTTTGGCAAGCCGTGATGCCGAGAGATAAGATCAATGAAGATCTTCGCTATCGTCTCCGCCGAAATGTGAGCGGAGACCGGAGCAAAATGCACCATTTTGCTGAATCGATCCACTAGAACCAAAACGCCCGTGCGTTTCAGTTCATCCGGTGGAAGTCTAAACATAAAATTCATGCTGACTGAACGCCAGTCTTCCAAAGAAATTGGAAGCGGACGCAATGGGGCTTGTGAAGACGGCGCGAACTTCACACGCTTCACAGTAGCGCACCCATTTCTGGATGTACCTATACATTCGCGGCCAGAAAAACACGCGAGAAATAGCCGCAAACGTCTTTTCGCGATCCAGGTGTCCGCCAGCTGGACTGTCGTGAAACTCCTGAACCAATCAGGCTCGAAGGTCGTCATCAGCAGGGATGATGACACGCGGGAAATCAAAGACGTCCATCGTGTCCTTTAGCAACGGCCCGTCAAGCGCGTAACGCTTGATGTTATCGCGTGTTAGTTTCGTCAACTTCAAGAGTAGCGTGTCTATAATATATTAATGATTACCACATAGAAGAAATTATTCGCAAAAGATTTAGCGATCTGAGTTCGGATCGACACCACGGATATCGAGATCATCGCATTGAGACTCAGCTCAATGCAACACGCACAGATATCATCGTCATTATCAACACTCTCTGTTTGATGACCCATGTCGCGCCGAGAATCGTAATCAGGACGAAGAGAAAGCGCGCCAGCGAGAATGTTATTCTTGCAGAGCACCACAAAATCATACTCGGCAAAAAATTACAACCACCGTGCCATACGCTGGGACAATTGAGGACTCTTGACAAAGGTGCACAACGATGCGTGATCTTTGTAGATGGAAAACATCTTTTCCTCGAGCAAATACACTTTGAGTTTTATATTCGCGTAGCGCATATCCAGAAGTTCCTTGTCGTTTCCCGGTGAATTTTTCTTGGCAGGTTTCATTTGTCGTGATTGAAAGCTCACGACGCGCTCGCGAGCCTCGTCGTGAAATTGCATGAGGGTAAATTCTATAGTGAAATTGTTTGCTTAACATACGACGTGAAATGGCTTAGAGTCATCATGTAGCATCAGAACTGGTGCCAAGGACAAACTCATCTTCACGGAGTCCAAGGCAGATTGATGTTCTGCCTTCCACAACCATTCTGCATCTTTTCACAAGAGAAGTCGATAATAGCAAGATTAGCTCAGCATAATTCTTCGTATACTTATGCAAGTAGTTCGCCAGACCAAGTCATTGAAGTTATTAGCTTAATTCCTCGGCGTTGGCCAGGAACATATCGATGAGATCTAGTCAGGATCAGCGCGGACATCTTCCTTGCTGACGTAGCAACCGAGTACTGAGCTATCGGGGGCTCAGAAGACGAAGCTCTTCAAATTAGCATACATTTATTTTCCGGCATAACTTGAAACAACTGCTTCAAGTGTCAAAGGTGTACCTCCGTAGCCCTAATCAGTTGCTCAGCACGGCTGTGAACAAAAATGTCGTCAAAGTAGCTCGGTGCAAAGTCGCGAAGTGAACGAAGTACTTGTGTCACCATTTAATTGACCGTAGCTGGAGCGTTATTAAGACCTTGTGGCATGACTGACCACTCCCAAAGCATCCCGCTTGAAGTGCTAATCGCAGTGAACGGGATGTCATTGTCCCTCGCGAGGATACGATAGAAACCGTTTGTCAGATCTATGGCACTTAAAATATACAATGGTATCGCATACCGTGTTTAGAAACATAAAATCCAAAAAAATTCTTTTTTAGAAATCGGCGTTGTAGGCGGGATCGTGGCGGTATTCAGCTTAATAAAAGGTGCACAATGCGCCAACCGCCGGTGTTTTCCTTTAAGCCGAAAGTCGGGTTCGTATGTGGCGAGATACTCTCGCGGACATGGCCAGCTTTACGGTGACCCTCGATAAATTTATCAATAGCGATGACTTGATTCATGCGCTTAACGGCCACTGCTGCGTCACGCAATACTTCGTTCCTGGCACGCGATCTATCTCGTGCCGCACCCCACGATCCGCTGGAAGTTTAGCAGAAACTTTCTGCGGAAAGATATCGGCGTACTCACGGGCGATATCGTAGACAGGGTTGCCCGAAGCACAAACAGCATCCCAAGACTGTGCCGCGAAGCGTTCTTCGCGCGCTGATTTAGGCTCGGCGCTCTTTGAGCAAGCCTCCAGAACTTCTTCACTGGCTGCTTTGGCGGCTGAAACGACGCACACTTGCTAGATGACGCCGGCTTTGAGGTCGTAAAGGAAATCTTTCCATGAAAGAGCTGACAGAGATGTGATCTCTGCAGCAGTGAACAGAGGGCTCACTACCTTGATGTAGCGGCCACGATGTGTAGATATCTCTACATATTCAAGCGCGCATACGGATTCCGTCACTACAGAATCATCTGCATCAGCAACTTGACGTGAGTGGCGTCGTCTCAGTGATCGGCGTCGTCTCGGTGATCGGCGTGCTCCTTTCTTTCCGTTCACTTGCGTCTTGAGCCCCATGATTGAGACTGGCACGTCGCTCTCACAGGAAGATGATGTACCCCCTCCCTCTAGCTCTGTCTCCAACACGTCGGTCTCATGCGGATCCATAGTCCGCCCCTTTTCGTCAATGAGAGGCGGAAGATCATCTTCGACTAACTCACTGGAATGCGGGAGCTCATTCTCGACCGCCTCGGTGACACTCGAAAGCCGCTGCTTGATCGAAGTGTGTGTTTGCGGGAGCCACTGCTAGACCGCCCTGAAATTAATCGGAGTCTCTGCTCGACCGATGTGCTTGTATGCGAAAGTCTCTGCTCGACCGCTCGTTCTGTGGCTTCATCAGTGTAACAGAAAATACCGCGCACAGAAGGTCATCGCTCTCTCTGTGTTGACCACTAGTCGTGTCTAGTTTGTTCACGACCCTGACGTGAGGCTAATTGGATGACGCGACCAACAAATGAGTGAACACTTCACTGACGTCATATCCGCTTCGTCGTTTGACGGACCGAGATAGCCAATCTATCTTCGGCTGATACCGTGACAGCCACGATATCATCGGCTGATACCGTGACAGCCACGGTATCTAAATATGCAATCAAATGTATAATTCAGTTCATACACCAAAAAATCGTGGTTACTCTGGAAACCGTCGAAAGTGTACGGTAAAACACTGTTTTACGCGGGACACGTTTTGGTTGTCCATCGGCAAGTTTGACAACAATGTCACCTGGACCTTCTCGAACCGTGACAGTCGACGGGAGGCCAACTAGAAGCTGAGAGGCAGGGCTGGCTGTATCATGGGGTAAGGCGGAGCAAAATCTGAGATGGGAGGGGTTGGGGATAGTTGACTTGTGTCTGACAGTCTCAGTTTACAATAATATTCGGACACACGAAAGTCTCGTCAATATTCCTCTCGCTCTTAATTCACGTATCTGTGAACTCGATCGACACTGTTGAGAGCATTTTGAATTGTCCTTGTAATGTAGCGCTCGAAGGACGGCAAAAGAACAAAAGTATACGAAAAAAAAAAAAAAAAAAACGGAAGCAGAGTTGAACCCCCTCTCGATGACGAAGAGATGCTTATCACGAAGCAACAGACAATGAAAGAAGAGCAGCTGCTTGTGAACCGTGAAGACGAATCGTTGGGGTATGCAAGCTCCGCACCGCAACTAGTGCAAAACCCTGTTGTGGCCTGGGCAGTTAGAGGTCTCGGCTTGTTGCTCTTTTTCGTAGTGGTTCTAGGGGTCCAAGGAAGCCCTTTGCAGGCTCCACGCGTGACCCGCCTAGCGACCGAGGCAACCACGTGGGTAGAGATGCTACCAACTGACGTTGTCAGTCATATGGATAGAAATGTGGACCCGTGTGACGACTTGTACACGTTTAGTTGCGGCTCATGGCTGAAAAATATGAAGATTCCGGAAGACGAGTCGAGTGTGTCCTTGATCATGGATAAGTTAAATGATGAGAATGAAAAGGTGTTGAAGCACGTGATGCATCAAGGTTGGCCGCTCGTGGGCGAGTTGTACGACTCGTGTATGAGCTTTAACAACACGAGCAGTACGACGGCGGATGACGCGTCATTAAAGGTCCTGTCGCCGGTATTGGATCAGATTGCTGCGACAAAGAATAAGAGGAAGCTGTTTCGATTGGCAGGAGTCTTGTTCAAAACAGGAACAAGCTTTGTGACAAGACTTGGTGTCCAAGCGGATGCTCGAAAATCGACCGTGAACGCGTTGTATGCATCGCAAAATGGACTGTCACTGCCAGATTTACCGTATTATATGGACCGAAAGAAGTTTGACTCCATCAGTGACGCATTCCATGCGTACGTGGTGAAGTTGTTTATGTTAGCTGGATGGGGGTCGCGTGCAGCAGCGTCGCAAGCTTCTACAGTGATTGGCTTTGAACAAACGCTTGCACCGCTTTTCGTACCGATTGATGATCCTGTCGCAACGTAGAATCGCATGAGCGTGGCCCAAGCTGCTGATAGATATCCGTTGGTTTTCTCCGAGTTTTTAAAGGGCACAGGGATACTTAGGAACCTCACAGATCAGAACGCTGACGTGATCGTGCAAACGCCAGAATTTTTTAAGCATGTTGAACAGCTCGTGACTGGAGATTCTGTGACTTTGGAAACCCTGAAAGCTGTACTGATGTACCAGTTTATCAGCGCCAAGGCAGAATACCTCAGCGAGCCATTCATTCAGGCGAAATTCCCTTTTTTTGATCGGACTATCAGCGGTCAGAAGAAGCGTTCCCCGCGATGGAAGGTGTGCCTTGACCTTGTTAGCAACAACTTTCCTGATTTAGTGGGCAAGCATTTTGCGCACCTTCGGTTCGACAAAACTAGTAGGCAACTTGCCAGCAAACTTGTGGCGCAAGTTCAAGCGTCGATGCAGAAGAACCTCAAGCAGATGGATTGGCTGGACGGGCCTACTCGGCAAGCCGCTGTTGATAAGCTAGACAAGATGACTAATCTTACTGGGTATTCGACTGTCTCCGAGCACTTTCCGTACAAACTACGTGGCGACGCACTACTTGCAGACAATATGCGGATCATCGTGGAGCATCTGTTTTATCGATCTGTAGAACAGATCGGTGGTCCAGTGAACCGCAACGAATGGATAGTGACGGGTGCTGAAACGAGCGCGTATTATGACCCGCAAACGAACCAGATCGTACTCCCTGCTGGCATCCTACAGTCGCCATTTTTCGCTTCGGAACATCACCCTGCACGCAACTTTGCTTCTACTGGTCATACCATCGGTCACGAACTCATTCATGGCTTTGATGCCTCCGGAAGATATTACGATGGTGACGGCAGCTTGCAGAACTGGTGGAGCAACGACACAGCAAACAAGTTTTTACAGCGGGCTGATTGTCTCGTGAAGCAATACAATAGTTTTGCAGCGACGAGTGATGCAGACAGGATAAGGTGCTTGGTTACGTCGACGGGAGCTTCACCTTAAATGAGAATATCGCCGACAATGGCGGCCTCAAGTTGTCGTTTAACGCATATCAAACATACATGAACAAGCAGGCCCGAGAGCTGAGCAAGGTGAGTGAAGCCAAAGTGACAGAGCTGACTAGTCCAATGAGCCAAGTCTTATCTGCTGATGTAGCCGACAAACTTTTCTTCATCTCGTTCGCTCAGAGTTTTTGCGATAAGACAAGCGACGCCATGACGATACAACGCCTAGTCGCAGACTCGCACTCGCCCGCGCGGTGGCGCATTAACGGAGCTGCAAGGAATTCGCGCGACTTTGCACGCGTGTTCTCGTGTCCCACTAGCTCGCCCATGAACCCGAAGACAAAGTGTCAGCTATGGTAGAATAGTATCTGTATTTGTTCTGTAGCTGCTATTTGCTTTAGACGGAAACAGAGCTAAGCTGCTTATCAAAAAAGCTTGGTCTTTGCTTTAGCGTCGTTATCGTTAACAGCTTCTCCGCCAAGCCCAAAGCAGCCCTCCTCTACGTTTCGAATGAGGCCGCAGTCATACGAACGGAAATCGCCCCCACGTCGGAAACGATATCGATTCGCATTAAGCAACTCGTTTGTAGTGCGGATTGCGAGCGATGATACTCACAAGTCGGGCGACTGAGAGTAAAACCGACAGCAGGAAAATCATGCCTACGATTGCGTAGACGCGCAGGTTGTGATAGTCACACCATAGTAGATGCAAAATCTACTAGGTCAACGGCAAAGAACAGAAATGTTGCGTAGTAATCGCGTCCTACGCAGTTGTCTACAAACAGGCAGCTAGAAAGGCACATTTTGTCGCAAGTTAGTCGATCGAGCAAGTCGGAAGGGTCATTTGTCACTCACTCTTGGTCAAAAGCAGGAAAAACAGGGTTGCAAATGCGGCAGTACTTGGATCTGGCAGGTCTCTGGATGTGGCATGTGTAACACAACGGGCGCTCCATACATTCACGCTGAGCACGCGCGCTGGCACTCTCTTTATTCGTGTCTTCTACTCCCCCGTCGCCATCGTCGTCACCAATGAGAGCTCCGATGACCTTTCTTGTACGCTATCGCATACTCCTTACTGTCGTTTGGAGCACTACCGGACACGATCATTACAGTGCGATATAGGAAAACCAGGTTACTGCATTCCATGCTAATTGTAGCACTATAAAATTGCGTCTGTCTGGCATTGCCGGTAATATGAGAAGCAGATAAATTAGCGCTAGGGCCACCGCATTGAGCACTGTGAAGTAGTACGGAGCCCGACTGCCAGGATCACACCACCACGTAAATGCAGCAATGTTCCACGCCGCAACTCGCACTTCATGCCGCTTAAGGTACCGTACAACTTCTCAAAAATGCTTTAATTGCGCCAGATCTCCCGGCGTTCGTTTCTTCGTATCCAATGCCATGACATCTGCATCAAGAGTCTCAACCAAAATTGCATCGTATCTAACTCTCCTCTCATTGCTGCAAGATGTAGAGGGTTTTGATCAAACTTTTCCGGTGCGTCAGAGCTTACTTGAAGATACTGAAACACTTCTACAATCTGCGTCGCTCCTTTATACGCCGCCCAATGTACTGCCGTGTCTCCATCATCATCGACGAGCGTCACATCTGCTCCATTTCTCACACAAAACAGCACCAACAATGGATGTCCGTTCTGCGTTGCTACCAGTAATGGCGAGCGATATTTCTTGGCGTCGCACTGGTTGATATCCACCCCAAGTCTCAGCACGAGTGTCCTCAACGCACCTGCTGCACAGGCCCAATGCATCGGGTACAGCTGGTCCCTCCCATCTTTACTTAAGGAATCTAAGGTGCTCCTATAGAGTTCAAATAGTACAGGAACTCTACATAAGCTTTCGGGCGCCGCCTATTGAGCGATCGTATGGCCTTGTGCATTTGCTCACGTGCCAACTCGTCACCGTATTGAGCCATAAGAGTAAAAATTGCGCCATGTCTTTGCGTTTCGCACTAGAGTTGGTACCCAGACTCAGACTCAGTGGGTAATTTACCTATACCCAGACTCATGGGTTAGGTATAAATAATTGGCTTTACCCAACCCGCTGACTCATGAATACCCATTGTAATGGGGCACCCTCCGACTATAACTACTGTGGAGAAGTGCCAGGAGAATCGGGACCCCTTATGGTATCACAATAAAGAAGAAAAGAATTGAAGCCTCGCAAGGTCCAAACGATGGTCACCAAGGATAGGGTTTTCAGTCACCAGAGACAGGGTTTCAAGTCACCAGGGACAGGGGTCCACTCACCAGGGACAGAAATTCCAATCACTGGGGACAGGGTTTCCAGTCACCAGTACAAGGTGCACTGCTCTCGACCCAGTCGATTGAGTCCAAGAAATCCCGGGCCTAAGTGAAGAATATCCACTCGTGGGCCCCCATGTCCCTCCACACAAGGACCAAGTCTATAAGTTTTCTGCTTCTAACGAGGAGAAAGACCAGCCAAGCCGACAAGTACAGCCAAGGTGAGACCCAAGGTTGACACCATACGGTATCGGGGTACCCCCTCCGTAAGTCGGCATCCGGCGCTGTGTGTTTGTATATCTCTTTCTTCAGTTAAGAATATACTCCACCACACTACCCATCACTGCACGCAAAAAACTGGAAACAGCCTCCGCGACGCAATTAGGTGTTTGATTCAAGTTTGTTGCGCGATTCGCTTAGGCGACCGACAACGGTTGGTACAGCGCTTCGGTGCCGATCAACACCACCGCCAGCGGAGGTAAGACGGCCAAACCGCTTCCTCACGCTGCTCGATGTTGTGTGCTAGTATCACGTGACAGCTTCTTTTTTTAAAATGCCTGTCTACATGATGGCAGTGTAAGCAGACTATATATACCAGATAGCACTTCGTGGTCCGTTCAGAGACCAACGACACGTCTACTATGAAACCATAATATATGGTACGACATCACGCGTCGCGTGATGATTTCTGCCATCTGGGTGACTTCGAATGGCAGGCGATACAGCGTCTTCCATTGTGATCTCTTTGAGTGGAGATGAACAGCTTGAAAACATCGCCAAGTACATTCAGCATGGCGCTGACGAAGCTTCAAGAATGCTTACCTCGCTTAAGCTGCAAGGTTCTTTACAGGCTGACCTGTTAATAGAGTTACGCGCTCAACAAGATGACTTGCTAGAACCAAAAGGTTCTCACTAGTAAGCTAAATAGATTACAAGATCGAATTGTAGCGGAACAAGAAAGCGCTTTTAGTTAACTCGTACATATAACTCTTTTTATATTTTGTTGCGCAGTATTTGTGAATATGTTCCCTATCTCATTGAACCGCTCACATGGAAGTCAATTTACTATTGGCAAATGTTTGGTGTAACACACAAAATAATAAACCAATAATTAAATGACGCGCAGTATCCTCTACTCGGATGCTGACCTATGCCTACTTATGTTATTATGTAATTTTCCTATAACTACCTATGCAATAGATTTTCCCATTACATCACCCATCACCCATACCCCTCTCTTTTAGTTGCGCTTACCTTCACGTAAGCGCGAAACGCAGAATGTTCAATCTTTACCAACGGCATAACTTCGAAGCTGCTCAGTCAGACATACTGAGTAGCATGGACCCTGGCCGTCCACGAACCGATATTTCTGACCACCAGAACTGGAAACACTAGGCGACGATCCAAAAAGTGCAGGCACAACAGGTTACGATGGCCGTAGCTTGTATATGTTCTTGAAGGTGCTGTCGAACCTGATTCACTTATGATAATAAAGGACCTCTTCGCGCGATACCGCACAGTGATAGGCAAAGCGACGAACAACGCGTATACCGACGATACGTTGCAAAGATCTTGGTGTACCTTCATTAGACGCTGGAGCGCGAGTAGACTTAATAATGTCCGTCGCGCACTGGCTGAAGGGTCGAGAGGGAACGCATGATCGACACGCTATTGGCGACCGCCGACTATCTATATCATTACTTGTGAAGAGTATCGCATTTGTTACGCTCGCGTTCGTGAGGATATCCCATGTAGAACATGGGCAGACCGCGTCCGGTTCGGCAGGAATAGAGTGACTTAGTGTGCGCACGGAGGCGTCCGAGCATATCCGACTATGGCCGTTCGTGATGAGAAGAGAATCCCGGATCTCTAAGTGTCTGAGCTGCGGCGAGCAAGAGCGCGTCCTTACGATCGCCGTGGGCGTCCACGTATCCGAGGTCGTTGAACGTATCATCCATATGCTCCCGAGACTTAAAATAGGTTTGAAGTCGATCAAGAGCTCATCGTATCTTCGTTGCTCGCGAGCATTTCGGCTCGCGATATAGGAGATGGAACCGGATGCGTCAGTCTCGATCACCGTCTTTCTACAACACTCATAGTTCTAGACCGCGTTTGGGGTATCTTGAGTCTGTTGTGAAGTGTTGTTTTTGCGATATGGAGGCCCTATAATCCAGTTAGATTTGGATTATAGACCGTGGGACAGGTACTATAATCCAGTTGGATTTGGAGTATAGACCGTGGGACAGGTACAGGAGACCAGAGAGACAGGTGCCTCGAAGGGGAGCGACCGTTGGCGGCGAACAATCCACAGGATCCACAGAAGAATATCAGTATCAGAGTACCGGTTAACCGGTAGCGAAGGGAGTGGACCATGGTCTTTCATTGATCGACCCGGCCCCTCGTTGGTAGGCCCAGGCACCTCATCGGTCGACCTGGGTCCCTCATTCGTCGACCCGGTCTCTCGCTGGTAGACCTGGGTCCCTCGTTGATCGACCCGGTCCCTCGTTGATCGACCCGGTCCCTCGTTGGTAGACCTGGGTACCTCATTGGTCGACCCGGTCCCTCGTTGGTCTACCACGGCCCCTCGGGGTTCAGCCACTCCTGAACAGTTACCGCAAGGATCAGACCAGTCGACTCAAGGAATCAGAGATTCAGACAAGGATAGAGTAAAGGAGTTAAAAGGATAGGACTATATTAAATACTACTCAATTTGCGATCTACGTGGCACGACTCCGTCACCCAAGAAGAACTTGCTCTAAGCTACTCGCTGTTCCGGGAAGTAATATATTTTGTCCCCCCGTCGAAGACAGTTGTGTAGCAAAGATCAAGTGCGAATAGAGCTCCAGGATATATTTGGCCTGTTAGCTCGTTCGAGTAGCAACACCCCCCAAGACCCTCTATCGGAAGCGGTCTCCCTTACCTCACGGTCCGGGAGAAAAGTAAAGGTCAGGTGGCTAATACCCCTGAAACACGAAGGAAAAGGCCATAGATAAGCTCCCTGAAGAATTTGGCTGTAAGCTCACTCTCGACAAGGTCTATCGAGTGTCTACCTACCGGCCCACTGAGTGAAGCATATCCACTCGAGGCCCCCCAGGTCTACCTCCCTCAAGGCAGACGTCTACATCCTCACCAAGTCTTCCGAAGAGTGCAACCCGCCAGCCGACGGGTACACAAGGTGAGAAGAAGGTCCATACGCGGCATCGGGGTACCCCCTCCGACAGTCGGCCGTCCGGCACAGTTAGTGGTTTGGGGTCTCATACAATTTTGAGAACCCGCTCCACCACAATGGTGCGCGTGCCCGGATCCCCGAAAGACGCGGGATTTCACCGCGAGTCCCAAGACGATAAAGATGTTCATGTCAAGAAGGAGCACAAGACCGAGGAGCCACTGAATGACCGATCGCCATTGACCCAAGAAGAATAAAACAAAGGATCGAAGGACCGACCGGGCCTTGGGAGGGGCCCGGTCAACATGGTCGAAGTTAAAATTATTGAAGATAAACCTATATACCCTCCCTATGTCCTCGTAGAGGACACCTTGGGCCATGACGCCTATCATGATTCAGAGGACCATCATCTGACGGTGAAAACCGAGAGGCTAAGGTCCCCGAACAAACATAAAACAAAGATCGAGCAATCCAAGCCGACAAAATTCAGGATGTAGACACCCGAAAACAGACCCCGAGAAGTCAGGACTGGCATCATGGTCAGACGCTGACGTCACGAAGGCCTACCACCAACGCAAGCTGAACGCGTTCCTGGAGAGCGACCCTTCGCGAATACCCTGGAGATCCGGCAGCTGGGTCAACTTACTAGGCCGGTGTCGACCCTATCACGGCTGCAGACCGTCACGGACGTGATCACTGCGCTGGGCACCAATCTTTGTGAAGCGAACATGGTCGCAGGGCGGTTCGACCAGGACGACCTGCTGTCCTTGGGATTCGACAGAAACACAAATACGTTAGAGCATATACATAAGCGTCTGTCGATCCTAGTTGGTACCACGCCATCAAAGGAACACCTACCTCTGACTACACCCACACAAACACGGTCCAGGGACAGCCCGATGACGCCTCAGGAAATCGCGGTCCACCCTCACAGGTACGGAGCCGCCGGCCCCCAGGGCGACGCATACCCCATTCCAACACCTGACGGCAAGCGGCCAGAGAGAAGCAGCTCCGTGGTCCCCAGGATCGTCCTCAACTGGGTCGGTCACTAGGATGCCCCTAGGCACTACTGGAGCAGCGCTGCTCCAGGCTCGAGCGTGCAGCGGGGGATCCACTTGGTCTCGAAACGGCGACGCGTGGCAAGAATAAAAATCATTCCGATTTTCAGCCAATGGGAAACCAACACGAGAAAAAGTTGGAATTTGCTCTGCCCCGTGACGAAGATGCTGGGGGGGGAAGGACCTACCTACCCGGTAGGTGATCTGCAGACCCTCTTCGACGCGGCGATGGCAAGATTTTTGAATGAACGCCAACTACCGCGGGCACACCCTAACGGGAGTGT